GCATCGTCATCTACACCGCCGGCCTGCCTCCGTCGCCGCCGACTGGCGTCCCCGCCTATACGGTCGGTTGGTCACACCACCGTTCATGGGCGTCCACGTCTTCACCGACCGGCTGGCCTTCGCCGACTGGTGTTTCCGCCTGCACGGCTGGCCTATTATGCCGCCGTTGTTGGATGTCTACATCTTCACCGTTGGCTCACCTTCATTGCCGTCGACTGGTGTTTCCGCTTACACGGTTGGCCTATTGTGCCGCCATTAGTGGGCATCTTCACTTTCACCGTCGACCGCCTTCGTCGCCGCCGACTGGTGTCTTCATTGTTATTGATGGACGACTTTGTTCCCACATTGGCCACTTCTGCCATCACCAAGGGGAATATTACAAAGCTAAGTCATCATTTATTTTATTCTTTATATGATATTTTTCCTTTTCCTCTGCCTCACTACACCAATTGGTCTTCCATTGAGTAGTGAGTCGGGGGCTACAGATGTTATATCATATTTTTTATAATATTTATCTTGATTACTTGCGACATAATCTGAGTACAAAAGTACCTATCGAGTTATGGAGTTCTATCTTCCTATGCTTTCCGTTTGGTTTGCCAATGGATGGTTGCCTTTGGGCTGATTCCTAGCACCCGGGGGCTCGTTGGATGGACCGAGTAACGCAAGGTGCTAAGTATTATTCGGAATAAATCAAAAGCATAGAGATGAGATAAATTTATTTTCTGCTCTTAATAATGGCAAAAGTACCCGAGTAGTAAATTCTGATCCGTGAAACTTTGTTCCATTAATGACGAACTCATGTCACTCATATGCATGTTTGGGAAGTGCCTAGGCCGACTCCCGATGCTTGGGGACTATGACTAGTCGGGCAGAGTGTTTAAACGTAAGGAGTCATCTGCTCGGGGAAATCACAATTGACAAGAGGAGAAATACATATTTATAAACATTTTAAAATGCTTGAATTTTTCTCGAGTATTATATTTACATCAGGTACTACTCATCCTATCTGTTTGTTCTGTAGGATCCAGATCCAGATATGCATAAAAGGGATTCATGGCTTTAAGCTTATCTCCTACGCTTTAGGAATGGATCAATCAGAACATCACCACCGGCTCGCCTTCGTCGCCGCCGACTGGTGTCCTCGCCTGCACGGCTGGCCTATTATGCCGCCGTTGTTGGGTGTCTACGTCTTCACCACCGGCTCGCCTTCGTCGCCGCCGACTGGTGTCCTCGCCTGCACGGCTGGCCTATTATGCCGCCATTGTTGGGCGCCTACGTCTTCACCGACCGGCCTGCCTCCGTCGCCGCCGACTGGTGTCCTCGCCTGCACGGCTGGCCTATTATGCCGCCGTTGTTGGGCGTCTACGTCTTCACCGACCGGCTTGCCTTCGTCGCCGCCAACTGGTGTCCTCGCCTGCACGGCTGGCCTATTATGCCGCCATTGTTGGGCGCCTACGTCTTCACCGACCGGCCTGCCTCCGTCGCCGCCGACTGGTGTCCTCGCCTGCACGGCTGGCCTATTATGCCGCCGTTGTTGGGCGTCTACGTCTTCACCAACCGGCTTGCCTTCGTCGCCGCCAACTGGTGTCCTCGCCTGCACGGCTGGCCTATTATGCCGCCATTGTTGGGCGCCTACATCTTCACCGATCGGCCACCTCATCCGCCACCGACCGGTGTTTCCGCTTACACGGCTGGCCTATTATGCCGCCGTTGTTGGACGTCTACGTTTTCACCGACCGGCCGCCTCGTTCGCTGCCGACTGGTGTTTCCGCCTGCACGTTGGCCTATTATGCCGCCGTTGTTGGGCGTCTACGTCTTCACCGACCGGCCGCCTCGTCCGCCGCCGACTGGTGTTTCCGCCTGCACGGCTGGCCTATTATGCCGCCGTTGTTGGGCGTCTACGTCTTCACCGACCGGCCGCCTCGTCCGCCGCCGACTGGTGTCACCGCCTGCACGGCTGGCCTGTTATGACGCCAACTGATGCTATCTTCTTCACGGCTGGCTACATCACCGTCACCGCTAATAGCTACCACTACTGATGGACATCATCGTCTTCCGTCGCCGACTGGTTATGCCGCCGCCGACTGGTGCTTTTATCTTCACAACTGCGCGTCTTCACCACCGGTTTGCTTCTGTTACCGCCGACTCGTGTTCACTTCATTACAGCTATGCAACTTTGTCACCATGGTGGAGCGACTTCATCTTTATTATCTTCGGCACCGGCAAACTTTATTGCTTCTACTTCGCAAGCTTTGCTACTTCACCAACCACGACGACTACAAGAGTTTCGACACCTCGGCATATGTCACTAAATATGATGCCGTATTATTTTATTACAACAAGTGGTGTTCCAATCTTCAATATTTCTACTCGGACATCCTCAACACATATCTTCACTCAAGTTATGACTATTCGATGACAAGAAGCTACAGTTCTCGACTCTATGTTCAGTTGTTTCCCAACTGATCAAAGAGTCGGGGGCTACACAAATACAAGGCTCAAAATTTGACAAATTTTATGTCAAGCTGAAGAAATCAATTAATCAGCCAACGAGTCAACTCCAGGAGTCATTATCTTCATCTTTGCTTCGGAGCAGACATTCTACTTCAACAACTTCAAATATTTCGGTTAGACGAGTTGGGCAACAACATCAACTCTCCTCCAAGTGAAGCATCTACAACAGCTGACTGGTTTCTTCGCCTCCACGGCTGTGCAACTTCATCACTTTTGATTGGTATCACTATCTTCACTACCACCAATATTTTTGCCACCTCTGTTGGGCAATATTATCTCTATATTGGTCGTCTTGTCTCTATGCCAACTGCGTCAGCTACCATCAATGAACAATTGTGACTACGTGCTCAGGGGCTTACTAGCTCAAATACAAGTATTATATCTTCAATTTGGACTTGCTCCGGATACATGCAACATGAATTCATGATCATGGGTCTATTTTCTATGCTCAAAGACTGGACTATTTATTATTCCCCGTAAGGGTTATCAACTGAATACTTGTGCCAGTCGGAATTCAATTGTTATATCTATTTTGGAGTATCCCATAAAGGATAATCACTCAGATCAGAAGCTATTCATATGAGCTACACTTGGTCTATATCACCCGAAAAGATTTATTACTCGGGAGCATGTTACATGCGTCATCCTTTAAAGGGTGTCGAAGGCATATTTTTTGGCCTAGGCCTAATATATCTGCAGCCCATATTTTCAGGTGTGGCCTGTCACGTTCTTTTAGGGACTTAGGCACTTTTTGCTTAGGCCAAAGTGCGCGTGATCAATTGCCCAATACCTTAAAATCCTTTTATATCGCAGTTACTCAACTTTTTAGGAGTTGGTATAATGCATCTTAAAAGGTGTCAAACAGTAAAGCTTTATATAGCTGCCCCGCTGACTTTTTTATATAGTCATGGTGTTGTTTGGGTTTTTAAGCAATTGATTGGATACAATATCATTGCTTTTTGCCACGTAAGTGTGCATTTTTATTGACCAATATTATGGCTTAGGCTGATTATATATTGTGGTCATTTTCCAGGCGGTTGGTAAATCCTTTATGAGTTTATTTACTCAGATTTTATACCTCATATGCCATATATTTCCAGGTGTGGTGGAACCATGTGTCTTCTAGGGACTTAAGCACATCTGTTAAAGCAGTGTGCGCATGGCGTATGCCCAATACTATGGAAATTTCTTTATTCACAACATACAAGCTTCTTTATAGCTATTTTGCTATGTGAATTTTCAATGATGTAGCCAACTTTAGGTTACACTCATCATATTTTACAAAGCAGTCGGTATATCACTTGGATCATATTATTCAGGGATTCATACCACATATGCTACATATTAAGTCGCTTGGTTGACTACAATTATCGAAACCACTCGGTGCATCTAGTCGATGCACCTGACTTTATTTTTTCAGCCCTCCACAGTCTTCTGATTTGGAAAAAGTACTCGGGAGATCATGGCGAAGATGATTGAAGCACTCGGCTTTGGAGTAATCTAGTTCGAGAGAAGATTATCTTTCCGACTGTGAAGGTCTCAGGGGCTACTGTGGAGATTATGGGTACCCCATACCCACACGGCATGGTTATCCGACTAGTTATAGGGGATAACTTATATATATAAAATATGTAACAGATCATGACTTGGGTATTACGTTTCCCTGTATATTATGGAACAGCCTAAAGTCCTAGTTTGATAAGATTGTAAAGTAGATTTAGAAAACCGATACCGTATTGGTTAAGGTTTCTATCTTGTAACCCTGCCCCCCAACCTATATAAGGAGGGCAGGGAGCCCCCTCTAGGGGCATGAGACAACCTGATCGTCAGATCAATACACACTCGGCGGATTCAAATCCCCAAACAGGAGTAGGGTATTACCTCTCATTGAGAGGGCCTGAACCTGTCTAAATCCTTTGTCTCCGCATCCATCCACTTTTAGGTCTCGTGCGCTACCCCCTTTTATTATTGCCGAATTCATGTTTCGACACCCTAAAATTTGCCTTATCTCCTTTGAGTTTTTCCCGATCCATTAGTTAAACCTTGAGTTGACCATTAGATTTTTTTGAAATAACTATATCACCCCTTCTCATACTCACATGCTACATGACTCATTAATATCTATGTGAAAAATTATAATTTATAATCAAATCAAATCGAACAGAAATATGCAACATTTAAAATACAAAACTTAATTTGAATAAATTATTATTTTTACTAAATCCATACGAGAATTTAAGCTAGAAATTCAGAACAAAAATTATTTATTACTTGGGTTTAAATTTTGGTCAAAATGCTGTACGGATTTCATCAAAGTTCATTTGAAATTTATTTAAAATTTTAATTTCATTATTAAATTTGTGGTCAATTAATTCTATCCCTTCATTTTTACAATTGAATCTTACTCCTGTTGAGAGTTGTCTTTTTTATCACTAGGCTAGCAGACAATTAACTGATTAAGTATGACGGGGGCAATATAGTCCTTTGAAAAAATTAACGGTCAACTAACATAATCAAAAGGAGAACTCAGGTGCATATAATACATTAGATAAAAATTCATGGACATATAAGGATCGGGCAAATTCTCAAGAGCACGTAGAGAATTTTCTCCATGGATGCTAGCTAGTGACAATCTTACATGAATCTGATTCTCTGGAGCCCTCTGTTACCTTTAACTAGAGGTTGGGGCGCGCCCTTGGCGCACCGCCTGTACGCACGTGTGCCGCCCAATAAGCTGATAGCCAGGGAAGAACGGTTAAAAAGTGTTGGTGGGGGAAAAGTAATGAAAGCAGACGGCAATAGATAAATAGATTGCAGCGCTAACACACATATGTCTGATATTTGTAAGGTGCTGCAGTACCTATGATAATAATCTTAAGGTGCAACACTAATTAACATAGCAGTGGCGGTAGAGCTGGTAAGTGGTCCTGAATACATTGACTATTCACGTGTGGTCTACAGAACATCGATGGTCATTTGCATGTCATTTGCATCTGGCTTGCCCTGTAGAAGTGGAAAATGCAGTTCGATCCAACGCGTATGCTATTTTTAGCTGCAAATTTTGCCCACCCTTTCTTTAGGACAGAAAGGATGGCACAAAATCCTACTTATCACATTAGCTGGGTAGGATGGAAATGCTACAAATTTCAAATTCCTGCACAGGCACGTAGCACATGAAACATAAGTTTTTAATGACGATAGTGTATCACAAGTGCTAGATATATCCAAAGCAGCTGCAAGGCATGTAATATGAACAGAACAACAGCAGATAGAACGCTAGTGCATTAATATGATCCATAACAGAAGGGGGTTTGCTGAACGAGTTCATAGGACTGACAGAGCACCATATGGACATTGACAGTCATGGTTATAACATACAAGCAAAAGATGGGGTGATGTGCAGTCGTATGGCAGCGTTTCATAGGAAGTCTCTGCTACGGTTATATGGAAAGCACACCGACACTAAAGGGCGAAAGAGCAGCAGGTAGAGGACCAAACATGCACATGCATGGACACAGTGGTGCCAGCAATCATGTAAACAAAAGATTGTCTGATACGATGTGCCATGTCAAGCAGCATCGCCAACAGTAAGATTAAGGAAATATGTAGACATAGGGTGGGATCGCTGATGTAGGGTATTATTCCCCTAAAAAATAATTTAAAGTGATCAGCAATCTAGGTGAAACTAATGCCGTGCCCATAGATATATAACAGAACAAGATACTCACATCAGCACAAAAGCTAAGGTGAGCAATTTAGTTCCCTTTCGGTACAGGAGGCTTAGTCTTGCGTGTGCCTGTAGAGCCTGGATCAACACTAAAGCAGAGAGGAACACCTGGTTAATCTAGAAGAACCAAAAATGAGAGAGCAGCGAAAGCGAAATGGTGCAGTCTATTTAACAATGAATGTGACATGCTTCCACCGCTAGTACAAAAATAGGGATTTTCTTATTCGTTCTCAGCTGGAATATGTAGTTTTATACCTTTTCTTTTTGGCTTCAGTTGGCAGGATATCTTTGACCTATAGAACGGGAATAATTAGGTTGCCAGTGTCACTAAAAAAATTCGACCACTGAATTAGCTGGAAAGTGGTGTATTTATGCTTAACCTGAGTATTTGGTTCAGCAGAGGCAGCTGCAATCTGAGAAACATCAACCTCATGAGGCACAGCATGTTGCTTATCAGCAGCTTGGTCATCAGTGCGAGAAGAACTGAGAAATATAGCAGATAGCCATCATGATCAGTAATATTACATGATATGCCTATGCATAGCAAAAGATATAACTGGTAGGCTGCGTGCAATGGTCAGTGGTAGCAAAAGATGGTAGGCCATATGCAGATCATTTTGGAGCGCATTACATCCCATATAAAAGATAACAAGTAAGCAACTAATCTGCCTGTAGTAAATAATGTTCTGTAGTTGTCTATGAGCATGTTTCTTTCGATTAGCTAGCAGGCCATGTCATAGTAATGTAAAGTGGTTCTATTTAGCATACAGGCAATTTATACGGTGGAACAAAGTACAGAGTAGACCAGAGGTACGGAATGGCATATGGAAGCAAGAGAAATAGCAATGACTTATTTAGGTCTATTAGGCCTAGGTAGGATGATTAGGAATATAGATCAACAAGGAACCTACATTAATATGTTCATAATGCATGGTTCCTCACTAAATAGAATGGGTTGGATGCTTATATCTGATTGAAGTGGAGGGACTGACCGTGCTCTGCTATGTAGCAGAGGCAAACCACATTTACTGTTGGCCATAAAAATTAGAAAGCAGATGTAACATAGAGAAAGTTTCAACATATAAGAAGAACAAGAAGTGTGGAAAAACACTTGTACCTAGCAGGAGGGTCAACCGGGCTGGTGTTTTCTTTGCTGGATGGAGCTGTTTCAAAGGTCAATTTTTTCTGTGCTGCTAGAGGCTGGAATAGCAATCAGACATATAAAAAGAAGGGCCATAAAAAAAGCAACAGGTAATGTATGGGATATGAATGGAAGGGCGTACATGACGGACAATGGATTTCCGCTTCTTGCTGTCACCAGGAAGTTCATCGACTGGATCAGCAGTCGAAGTAGATGAATTGACCGGGGTTAACTCATGAGATTGAGAGGCGTCATCCTTATTCATACCAGAAGCAACAAGAGCCAAAGGAGTAGAAGGGCCTGCAGATGGACCCTGTTCCCTAGGCTGCGGAATAGAACCCTGTCTTCCAAAGAAAGTCTCAATTCCATTAACTTGAAAAGATATATTCCTATGCATAAGGCTCCGCTCAGTGACAGAGACAGCAAAGGTAAATTTCTATGAAACAACAGCAGCAATTTCTTTAGGAATATTGTCTGATCTGCCCTGAAATTTGATAAGATTCATAACAGGACGGCCAACAACTTGCTGCGCAACACGTCCAAACAGCACAAACTCTGCTGAATCAGTTCCATCGGTTCCTATCAGGCAAAGACGGTACCTAACATATAAAAATGAAATTTCTGTCATAGAGGCCAAGCAGACATATAAAAAAGGAGCTGAACATGTATGCTGTAGAACATTACTTTGGAATGGCAGTAACTGATGAGCAACCGCTGTAGCATTTATAGCTAGATCCATATGCAGTTGCGGCTCTATGACAACGGGAACAGGATGAAAACCACCATGACTGAGATGGGCTCAACTTAGCTATGGTCACAGTAGATGAGAAGCCAGCACCCTGCATAGGAAGTGTTTAGCAATAACCTTGTAGATGAACTAAATGAAAAATACATATGCGAAAGCATATAATATGCTTTTTACAGTGATTACCGCAGCTTCCCATGGATCAATCTTTTTAAGGTCAGCAACAGATTTATGCTCCAACTGTGCTGGGCGTTGTGACGAACCAAAGGACTTTGCTCCGGCTGATATCCACTGGATCTTTGGAGCACTATCACCCAGGCTAATCAAGGCATGGAAAACGACATGTTAGAGAAAGGGGGTAGAACTCTAAAAAATTATAACTCTGTTGTGAGGGGCTTTAACTAACCTATCAAAGAACTGGTTTATCTCTGGTATGTCCTCATTTAAATACCATTTGCAGGCTGATCCTCCACTAAGAGTTTCTTCATGTACATAATACATAGGTGAAATGATTGTGGAGACAACAAAAAAAAACAAATGTACATTGAAGATACAACACCGGCACCAGAAAATAAAGAGAGAACTAAACATGCAGAGAAGGAGAAAAGCTTACTATTATATGCTTTCATAAGAGTACCAACAAAGATACCAACGACAACATTATCTTGGCCAACACTATGAACAGCATCAGCATCAAAGTCGAGAGCATGCTCTCCCCATAGGACAAGTTTAACCTCACAGTTCCTATTCGGAAGAATGAACGGTTATCAAAATAGTTGGCCATGCATTAGAGGTCAGGGTCATAAACAACAAGCTGGTAAAGACTGGAACAACAAATAAATCATGGAGGCTACGTACGCAAGATCCCTTAGAGCAATGACCCTCTTAGGTGTGTCTGACGTTTTAGACGCCATTCGGACATAGGCTAGCTTTGATACCCCAATGATCATACCGATCACATCTAAAAAGAATTAAGAACAGTGGTTTGTAAATTGATAAATGCTATAGATAGCATAAATAATGGAAAGTAATGGTAAAGGAAAGAACAAACCAGTGAAGTACTCTTGCATCCCAACGCGCTGGCTTAGATCTGAGAATTGAACCAAATTAAACACATGGGATGGGAAATCAGCAGGAACTTCATTGACCTGTTCCACGTTTGTCCATGGAGTAAGCTTGATCATATACTTGTTAGGGAAGGGCTTGTATGCAGGTTTGCTAGGCAAAACAAGGAACTTGCTAAAAGTGTAGACTTTCGATTCCTGAAGAAGTGGTCTGAACTTATCAGCCTCAACGCCTGGAATTTCAGCATACATTGCATTTCCCTACATAAGCATTTAAATCGTAAGCAAATCAAATTGGACAGGGAATATAAAGGTGCCCTGCATTCGGACTAATGAGATATACCTTCTCATCAACAAGCACCAGATCAACATGCATAGGAGGCACATCGTTAGCTGTACCAGTGTAGTCCCACATTCTTGCTATCCTTGCACGGATCTTCCAGCCTCTGCTTGCTAGGGATATGTCACACAGCAAATCGAAAGCCATCTATAGGAAAGCAAAAAACAAGGTCATGCAAAAGGGCAAAAAAAGCATAAAATAAGCAGATAAATATGCGGTGCATCACCTATGGCAAAGAGTATAGTAAGACAGCAAACAAAAGCGCAGCATAACCAGGTAATATACATGATCCATAGAACAACATAGCAAACTTTTAGATATAAACAAAACAAGTATATCTGTACACCGTAGGAATAAAATAAACAAAACGACAGCAACCACCAACTATCTAAGAGTAGCGAATATTTCGCGATAAACGATGTTTCGAGTATATCTGTACACCGTAGGAATAAAATAAACAAAACGACAGCAACCACCAACTATCTAAGAGCAGCGAATATTTCGCGATAAACGATGTTTCGAGTATGGGAGGTGCAATTCCCGTTGTCATCTTCGATAAGTACTTTCAAGCCTGCACGGGAAGTGACACGAGAAAGAGCAACGTATAGCTGACCATGGGAAAATATTGGGCTTTTCAAGTAAATGCCAACTGAACATAGACTCTGTCCTTGACTTTTATTTATAGTCATAGCATAGCACACACGAACAGGAAACTGACGGCGCTGTAATGTAAAAGGCCATTTCTTATTGTTTGCAGATAGAGTTATTCTTGGGATATAAACAGTCTGACCAATATTGGAACCAGTTATGATACGCGCCTCTATTACTCGGTCACCTAGATTTGTAACAATCATTCTCGTTCCATTGCAAAGGCCAGCACTCTGATCTAGATTTCTCAAAAGCATTATGGGCACACCTTTTTTTAAGCACAATTGATGATCAGGATAATTGTTAACTTTAATTGAGTTCAAAAATTCGATTGGATACAAAACATCTAAATCATCACATTTCTCATTTGTTTTTGCAAGGGAATCAAAGTTTAGGTATTCTTTCATCTCGTCAGGGACAAGCTCTAGTACACGAGAATTAATAGTGCCACATATATCATTTGTAGGTGAAACAATAGCACGATCTTGTAGATATATAGGATCACTATAATGTTCAGCAAAATCAGTATAGACTGCAGATATAATAGCTCCAATCTTATCATCATTATCCATGACTAAGAGATCGTGTGGGATATCAACCCATGTTGGTTCAGTGTCAGTATCACGAGCACTTGCAGCTGTTGTACCATCGCCGATACAAAGAATCCAATCACTAAAGTCAGCGATTTCATGTTGTACCTCAGGGCTTAGAGAGCTTGAACGGCAAACGCATATTTATCGATAGCTCTAAAATAGACACATGTGACCAGAGAGGGGACCTTGATATTGCAGCATCAATTGTTTTTGATCTAATACCCCCTTCCACAACAGGTAAAATCTGACGAAAGTCCCCACCAAGCACAACAACTATACCACCAAAGGGTAATCATGCAGCAGAAGGATCATCCTCAGCAAGGATATCACGCAATGTCCTATCTAAGGCCTCAAAACATCGACGGTGAGTCATCAGAGCTTCATCCCATATAATAAGTGAAGTGGACTTAATAAGATCAGCTAGCATTGTACCTCGCTTTATATGGCAAATAGTTGATTCATCAACCTCTATTGGAATTTTAAACCGGGAATGAGCAGTTCTACCGCCGGGCAAAAGTAATGGAGCAACTCCCGATGATGCAACAGCAAGAACAATTTTTTTTTGAGATCTAAGGTAGGTAACAATACAATTCCACAGAAACGTTTTCCCAGTGCCGCCATAGCCAGAAACAAAGTAAAAAGCAGGTGATTTCGTCATGACGCTTTGCACAATACGATCATATGCATTTCGTTGATCAACGTTAAGCTGGTCATATAGCAATGGAGCATTCACACATAAATTATCTATATCATAAGACATTTCATCGTCAATCAATCTATTTGCTGATTGAAAGGAGCTATCACAATTGATGCTTGGCAAATTAAAAGAAGACATAGAAACACCGTTGCGAACAAACAATGTATGCAATTCTTGTAAAACCATATTTCTAAGCTGAGCATCAGGAACAGAGTACGAAGAGTTATTTAAGGCTTGCTGCAGATTAAACAGAATATCATCAGCCATCGCATGCCAATGCTTCTCAAAAAATGCACTCTCATCAGCAATACCACAATGACAATCATCAACACAAAAAGCGATCTAAGCTGGCCGCTGGATGCCCAACTATCAGCCTCATCAAATGCATACGACCATTCTCTATCATCAACAAGCAACCCTCTAGCAGCACAAGCCTCCTTAAACGTATCATAAACAACGCCGTCATATGTTCTAATATCCTCATAACTTCTAGTGCCTTTTACGTACATGATCAACATCCTCATAAAATATGCTTCGCCTGCAGAAGGATGGATGTAATACATCCTACCAATCTTATAGCCGTGCTGCCTTATTTTCCAACTTTTTAAATCATCTTCCCAAGTAAACATCGTAGGATATTTGCAGTATGTTAGGTGACGGCTTGCGGGAACAGATCATTAGCGACAAACCACTCAGTCAATGTTGTTTTTTGTAAAAATGTATTTGAAACCATAGATGCTAAATTTGTGTCTAATCTAAAAGAGACCACGTTCATGTTCGGTAAATGGCATGCTAAACGTTCAACAGAAGGGTTTCTAAAATGAATATCATATGCATATAATCTCCACATAGATTGCTTATCACATAAATATCGACACGCAATAAACTCAGCTATCTCATCCCTTGGCGGCTTAACAGTGAAATCAGCACCACGCATCTTTTTGCTAGAGCTTGGTGTACCACTATCGTCAACTGCAACACGCCCTAACTTCCTTTTTCTCACTTTTGGTAAACTTTATGTTGGCATGATCAGACCCTTTTGTGACATATTTAAAAAGATATTTGATCATTTTAGATTTGTTGCACCACTCAACATTGATATGAGCCTCAAACTTACGCAGCAGCGCTATATTGTACGGAACAACTGAACGATTATCAAGTTTCACATTGTTTTTATATGCAAATCTACCATTGTCACGCCGTCTATAAACAATGAAACCTTTATCATCTACAGTTGTCTCGGAAGCAAAATCTTTTGGATACTTTTTAGAACAAACCCCATTTTTCATGCAAGCACACTTTCTATTGGCATCACCACAAGGACCATGCATCATAAATTCCTCAACAAGTAAGTAATCAAGCTCATTTTCATTAGGATCAGGAAGTTCAGCGCTGATGTATGTATCCACAACAAATGGTGTGGCGTCAGTGCTTGGTGCATCACGCTACACCAGTATATGCACGTGGGGAAGGCCCCTCTTCTGAAATTCCACGCTATAAAGAACTACAAACATATCATAGGCAAAACAACCAAATAAAAATCAATAAAACAATAGACCATAAAGAGCACAGCTAAGTTAAGGGCAAAAAAAGAGCACTAACCAGCACGCACACGACCAAATGGAACACCAGCCATAATATCAGAAACCATCTCATCAAGTTTCATTTTAAAAACTCTACAAACAATGTCAGAACAATCTGTCGAACGCTGCCCTGGCTCAATGCGCAATGCTTCTTCAATCTCAGGCCATTTCGGATTACAAGTAAAAGTGGTAAACACATCAGGGGCACCATACACACGACAAATAGCAGCCGCATCCTGATAATTTTGGTACATATATCTTCTCCCGCCAGTGAAACTTGCAGGGAGAATTCGTCGCTTACCAACACTATTACCGTCTAAACAACCTTTGGCGACTGCATCTGCAATGCCTTGAACGTGTTCGCATCTAAAATCGCCCTGGTGTTCATCTATAAATGTCAATCTACCCTCCTCAAAACACACAAAACCATCAACTTGACTTTGGGAGGACAAACGACCGCAACATAAATATGGGTTGAACTGGTCTCGACGATAGTGGCAACAGTAACAATAATGTTCTTGCATGGAAGCCTTAGTACGTATATCAGTGCGATTTAAATCAACCCCCCTCAAATTTATACCAAGCTGAAAACCACGTTCACCATATGGGAATAACAGTGGGTATTGTAAGGCCATGTAAGCAGGATGCAAGCTAGATACATGATGGAGTGGACCAGGAATGCTCTGCACAATTATATCACGTTTTGCATTTTCCAATGAAAAATCACTTACAATTAACCCAGCTAGTTCATCGGCTGAACAGGCCCTTCCTCATCAGCGCCTACAATCTTAATTGCTAATTGTTCATCACCGTGTTCAGCCAGCCGATCTCTCGTGAGCCTAAACTGCTTAACCAAAGGATTACAATTGTCTAGCATGTCTAGCAATTCAGCAGCTATCTCAGGATCTAGATCACAGCTACCATTCTCTTCACCAAGAACAGCAAGCATTCTGTTTTGGACCTCATTTTGAGTATCATAAATATACAGCTGAGCAAATTTTGGTGGATTATCTTCATTAGGCAAGAGCGAACCTATACGGTGATAGACCTGGCCATTTATTTTAAAGACATAAGGACCACCACCCTGGTTTAAACTATCGTCAATATCTGCACCCATCGAAGTGAAAGAAAACAGCGAATTGTACTGACGTATGTGTTGCAAAAAATGTTTACTTCGAGCATCTCCATCAAATTTAAGAAGTGAATTCAAAGGTTCTGGTGGCTGCGCAAATGGAGGGACAAAAATTTTCCCGCCTTTGCAACAAAGGTTGTAACAGACACGGCGCTTGGTAATAGCAGAATCTTTCTTGCACTGTTCCTGGTACCAGAACTGAGCAGCGCACATACGGCAGCGATACTCAGGAGGGCCATAATCGCACCTATCCTTTGAAGTCTCTATGCAAGCATTCAAAAAAAGAAATTTATGTTTAAACCAAGCGTGCTGGCATTGCAAACAAGGGAATGGAAACGAATCAGAGATGAAAGCAACCTCTTAAAAACTTGGCATAATCACTGTCAAACTTGTTGCAAGAGACAGGAGCAATACGGCAAGGTTTTTTGCCTATAGGGAAGGAGATATAACATCCATGTAAGCCATGTCAGCAAGAACATATGCAGAAAACCAAAGATCCAATGGAAAAACCTGTAGCCTCCAATCGTTTCATGGCCAATTTTTTTGAACACATTTGCCGTCTTTTTGAAGAATACCATGCAGGGTAGATAGGGAAAAATCCATCGTCTACTAAAGCGAGAAAAATATATGAGCAACGACTACATAAATATAAACAAGCCACAACAACAGTCGCACACAGATCAGTAAATCACATACCCTGATGGGGTGGAGCAACAGTCTCCCAAACATATTCGCTGGCAGCTGAATTAGAGGAAGATGCTAAACAAGCAACAGACGATTTAATCTTTCCACCCAGGAAAAGATATAAAATCTAAAGCATCTAAAAAAAACAAACCGCAACAAACCATACATCTAAGAGAAGCGCTGCTACGCTCTAGCAATCGGCGATCCCGTCAACGAGCAGGCCTAACCACACGACCCCCTTCCATATAGGAACTAAACGCATAGAAAAACAGAAATGTCGTGCACACATATAGAACATATAACCCACAAGGAACAGCGCAGCTCGAATAATGTATAGATAGCTGAAGCAACAAAGGCCAATTGTTATACCTTAGCCGACATGTACGGGCACAGGAGATGCGGTCCGCAACCTGCAGGGAATAAGAATGTAATTTAAGCTGGATATCAGATAAAAGAAAGAACATACACCAAACCACAAGGCACAAATAAACTACAAAACAAAAAGGATGTCTGCCCCAAAGAAATAGCAAAGAAACAAAGCTCACCTGAACAGGAGCTGATGGTAAAGGGAACAGCAGCACAACAGCAACGAACGTATCGCACGGACCTGACCGCGACAATAAGCACCTGCGCCAAAAAAAATCGATGTGAAGGGACAAAAAAAAACATGTAAACGTACAGAGATGCACTTAAGGAAAGACTCAAAAATGCAAATGAACCACATGGTTCTGCACGAAAAGAAAACACCACGGGACACACTCTGAGTGGCGAAACATGATCCAATAATGAATCAGAACCAGGAAAAAAAAAGCAATGATATTTGTCATTAACTAACGACCGTGTGCTTCATCTATGTAATAGCCACCATCTATTTACTGAAAGAAGTATTTACTAAAAGAAGAACAACAGAGATAAGCAATGATCCACTGTGAAAAGGGAAATATGAACACGGGGAAAATCGCCTAAAACCTAAAAACTCTGTGACAGTAAGTCTCGTGCAACAAACAGGCCAGTACATGGCTACCTGAGATGCACCAAGCCTAATCACAGGATAAAAAGGAAACACACGGCACAGACACAAAGGAAGGCAGCTAGGCTAGATACAGAAAACCCACCAGCACACGCGTTCACCCCCCAGGGTTCATGATCGAACGAAGAAAGCACAACAGCGGAGAATGGGCTAGAACAGACGACAAGAAGAACAGCGAACGGGCACCAAAAGGCAATGCAAAGGAAATGGCGAAAAAGCAGAAGGGAAAGAGAAGATTGGCAGGCAATGAGCTACTTATACTGGTAAACAAAACAAAAAAATATGTAACATAAAAAACAACATACTCAGAGGCTGTCAATAGGACCCCACAGATGACAGGGCCATCGGTCAGCCACAGCATACGACGTAACACATCAGTGCTCTGACGGAGGCCATCCTCGAGCTCTCCGACGTAACACACCGAGCAGTAACACTGCGCCGGAAAAAGGGCACATCGGCGGAGCCTGCTACAACGGCCAACTGCAATTGGCATGGACCACGACTACGTGGGGCCCGAACAACAGTGGAGCATGATTGGCTAAAGCCGTGGGACCGACTACTCGCCAGAACACGCACAGACGCCACCAATCACCTCGCAGCCCCGATGACCGGCTGCCATTGACTAGGCATGCTCGAGTTCTCTGTCCCGCCCTCGAACGACGAGTGGTGGTGAGTGCACCTGACACTGGCCGCACTGGTGGGACCCTCCCGCAGCGACGAGACTCGACTGGCATACACCACAATGGCCCAATCAGAGCATCTTGAGTGGTGTGAGCAGGCACCCTGAACGATTTGTACCATGCTATGATATGCAGAGACAAGCGAGGAAGAACAGCAAGCAAACATCCAACACCAATTAACTGGCCATCCATTACCAGGGAGAAAATGTATAAGGAGGAAGAAATCACACCAGGCATACAGATTTGGCACTGAGATAGAAAGAGCATCGATTCAATACCAAATCAGGGGGGCAAAACAATGGAGCCGCTGATATCGGAGCAAAAATCGCACGGAATGGCGCGGCCAACGACGAAGAGGAAATGCGAGTGCATCCAGAAAATGCCATGCCGTCCCCTTCCTTCTTTACCACGGATGCACCGCCCAAGCTGCCACGGACACACTCAAAGACACGTGCCTTCACATGCACCAATCAACGCAGCCCGTACACATGAAACGCAACCACCGTTTCTGAACAGCGTGAACAAAACTAAATTTGCCGCAGCCAGCTTGGACCCCACTCTTGTGGGGAGGAAATGACCCCATCGACCGTCGTCGTCGTCGCCACCGCCGCCGCCACATCATTGGGGAGGTAGGCGGGGTAAGCAGGGGGACCGGAGGCAGGCGGGGTGAGAAAGGGATAGCAGGGAGCGGCAGCGATGGCGCTCGGCGACGGCGATGGCGGTGGTGGAGGTGGAGACGGCTGCACTCGGTGACGGCGGCGGCGGTGGCGGCGGTGGGAGAAGAAGAGGGAGAGGGTGAGATGGCAGGCACTCGGTGGCGGCGCGGGACAAGGAGAGCGGCGGCGGCACTCTGCGGCGGCAGTGGCGGCGGCGGGAGTGGAGGTGGCGGCGCGAGGGGGCGGAGGCGGCGCTCGGGGACGTGGATGGGACGAGGGGGAGGGGGGGCGGAGGCGGCGGCGCGAGGGTAGGCGCAGGCGGCGGGAGTGGAGGCGGCGGTGGCGCTCGGCGACGTGGACGGGGTGAGGGGGAGTGGGAGGCGGCGGCGGCGGCGCGAGGGTAGGCGCAGGCGGCGGCGGCGCGGGAGGGGTGGTGGGAGAGGGAGAGGCGGCAGCTAGGGCTGTGGGGGGTATGCGTTAGTGGATGCTGTTTTGCGGAAAAGCCCCTCTTCTTTCACATATCACAAAAAAGCCCCTGTCCGCGATTATTCCTCTTCAAACACAGGACGCTAGGGACCTATACATTATTACGAAAAATCGGAGGGCTTTTTCGCATAATTTCCACCCCGCGCGCACTGTAGCTACTGTAGCAAAATCCGACGTGGACGCAGCGAGCGAGCGCCCATCCCGCCGTCCTTAATATTCTCCGATTCTTTGAAACTTCTGCTGTCAGCCTGCCACTTGTCTTCCAACAGCATGTCTTTAACTTCCCTGCCTCTCCAATTTCTGTAGAAAGACAAATTAAAACCAAAATAATCCAATAGTAAACAACACATATAAACAATATTTTTACATGATTATAAATCACATACGCATGACTTTAAAACCATGCACTGTATTTTTTAGTCTTCCAATTGGCCCAAAACGCCACTGCGTACAATGCTAGTACTACCAAATATCCCAAATCCCTGTCTTGTTTATCAAATCTCTTTAACCAGATTGATGTTCTTTATGGATGTGTGGCATGGGAATGTTGCCCATATGTTGAAACCAAAAGGCACAGCTCAAAATGTTCCAGTCTAGCTTCCAGATGAAGAGAATGCCATGTGCATTTCAAAAAAAAAAAAAAACATTGGGGAAGCTAACTGAAGTCCTAAACAGGTCATTAATAATTAGGTTTCAATAATGTCTCTTGCCAACATATCATCTTTGGCATATATGCCCACATAAAAAAAGAGAGAGTTAAAACATATCTTTGAATTTCTACAACCCATATGTATATGCTTTATTAGTGGTTTAGGTAAATGCTATTCCAACTCGACAAATTGCTGATCATATGGTAACCGCTCCAATATTTTTTTATTTTCTGATTCTTGTTAGATTTCAATATAGAAACAGGATAATTTCGCTGCGTCATCAAGCTGGGTGATCTCTCTGTTTTTCTTAAACGTCATCAAGGTGACCTCAGCACTCTTGCGTTGCTACCATAATGAGGGATAGCTTTATGGTACTACGAATTATTCGAGCTTGGACAGTTAAATATAAAATAATATTTAACATATCTAGTTAATTAAATATTCTAAGGGGGAGTCTACTTGTCAAGTGGCTAATATTTTTCTTATCTATCAATCATTTATTTAACACCGAATCAATACAAACAACTCACACTTGTATGTTTCTTTTCTTATGGTGAAGCGAATAATGTTCTAACCTAGAAGTGGAAAAACAAGGTTTACTTGTTGTAAACTGTTATGAGATTATGATTTTCTTTTTAAAATAATAACAATACATCAAGATTAATGTAAAAATATAAAACAAAGCAAACTACAAATGTACTTTCCATTGTATTGAAATTGTAGTTTTCGATATTCTGCAGGGCTAATAATTAAATGCCTCTACGAAATATTTTTGTTGAAGAATGGGCTGTTCGAAAGCTTGTTTTAATTTACCAAACTTTTACAACTAAGGTGTCACATGTCACAATTTATCTGACTATGTAATCCTTAGCCACAAGTTAGATAAGAGTTGGCAAGGATAATTAGTGAAATATATATAGTGCTTGGGTATACAAACTTATGGGCCTAATCCCACCCAAGCCCCTACCCACCTCCGGCCGATCTAGGTTAGGGTTTTGGGAGGGAGAGGGAGAGGAAGTGGAGCCGCTCGCCACCGCCCTCCCCCTCCCTCCAGCCGGACCTGGGAGGAAGGGGAACCGCCGCCGCCCTCCCCCCTTCTTCTGGCCAGACCTGGGGAGGGAGGGGAACCGCCGCCGCCGCCCTCCCCCTTCCCTCCGGCCGGATCTGGGAGGTAGTGGAACCGCAGCCACCACCGCCCTCCCCTCCCTCTTTGGCCACATCTAGAAGGGAGGGAAGGGGAGCCGCGCCGAGGGTGGATGCCGTAGCCCCGGTGCATCGCCGTCGCCCACCCATGCCTCGCCATCGCTGACCTCGCGCTCGCCGTTGCCCACCGGCCCCGCGCCTTGCCGTCGCCGCCCCCCAGAACGCCCACGGTCGCTGAGGGAGCTTAGGGAGAGGAGAGCTGAGGGCTGAGGGAGAGAGGAGAGCTGGGGGAGAAGAGAGGATAGGACTTAGAAAAAATATTATTGATGTCGCATCTATTTATATGCCACGCCAATTTTCGCAGGCGGACCACTTAAGAGGTCCACTTGCAAAAATAAATGGAATTTTTGCAGGCGGATCGCTTAAGTGGTTCGCCTGCGAAAATAGATTTTTGCAGGCGGATAACGATTTCACCCCACGGTTGTAATTTTCGCAAGTGGTCATTTAGCTCTGAGAGCCCTACCTGCCTAGAAAAAAATGTCATCGTCTAGAAAAATGATTTTTCTAGTATTGACTCTGATCTTCTTCTATATATATATATATATGTCTATATATATATACACACACACACATATATATATATACATATATACATATATATACATATACATAAAAAAATGAATTAATTGTACTCAAACCATACACCTCGCAGCAGCTCCTTCAAAGTCAGATATTCCACTTGCTAAACTCACTCGTGTAATGACTTTGATTCCATTAATTGGAACTATTCAAACAGCGTGAAGCTATAAAGGGGGTTAGGGAACTTGACAAGGAAGATGGAGATATTGATGAAATGTTGATAAGGGACTAAAAAATCAAAAAGTATTCTAAAATTGGACGAAGAGGCAAACCACGCGATCAGCACCACGACGAAACATGTGGCTCTAGGAAGTCAATTCTTTAGGAGAGCCGAACCAAAAATTAGGAAATGAAGGGTTTAAGTCTTCCGCCTTCTTCTTCAAGGACCAACGAGGATCTAATCCAGGCAACTCCATACTAAGCTCCTTTACATGTACGTACAATTACAGCTCGTCTTACTTCTGTCTGATCTTTCTAGAGGCATTTTGGGCACTGCTTCTTTGGTTACACATCATCCATCTCTACATCCGGGCTCGCCTACACTATCGTTCCGGGTTGATGAAAGCGACAACGAGATCATACTTTTATTGCTTCTGCGCCAACATCGTCTTGGGGGTGAATCGGGTTGAAAGTGAAAGTCACCAAAAAGTGGCGGAATGCTCTCGAAACCAATTCACTTGAGTGAGACAGAGGAGAGTGGAATTTCGTGTGTAGGGGTGAAATCCGTAGATCTACGAAGGAACGCCAAAAGGGCCCTATTCTAGGACATACAATGCATTATAGACGTATGATCACACACCGCCCGTCACACCCTGGGAATTGGTTTCGCCCGAAGCATCAGACCAATTATCACCCATGACTTCTGGGGTTCGGGTTAGTTACCTATCTCAATAAAGTATATGATTGGTTTGAGGAACGTCTTGAGATTCAGTACGCCTGACGGAACTCTTCTTTATTTTTTAAATTTGCATTAGAGCCAGTTGAAAAACGAAGAACCTTTTTTTGTTGTTACAGTTCCTTAAGCATAACCAGTTACGACCACTGATCTATATATATCCAGCCGATACGAGGGTGACTGTCTGACTACCTAAAGTTGCATATCCAAGTATAGATCCCTAGAGAAGAGAAGCAAAGGTATAAGCCAAGACCCTAGGAAGCATTACTCTTCTTTTCATTCCAAATTCTTCAATAAGACTGTGCGAACAAGCGATGAATCTATCATATCCGAGAATACTATAGATATTGAACGAAGGCGTTCATTTTCTGTCTCAGAAAACATAATCCAGTGTCAAGTCCAGTCAAATTGAAAATCTTTTTTTCATGAAAAAATTTTAAACTTGACGTAGAACATTGTATAAAAAACGAGACCTATTCCTTTATGGTAGAGATAGATTTATGATAGAGATAAATTTTTTTATAGTATTTTATTAGTAAAAATGGTTCCTTCTTCTCTTTCTTTCTTTGGTTAAGCGAAAACAATCTCGAGAAAATTCCTTACTTTTCCATTTCTTTGGAAAGCTCCTACTAAGATTAGAAATTCCCCAATAAAGCTAGCGATAGCCTTGTTTCGGATTTTCTAGCGATGACTAGCCCTTTGACGGCTCCTATCCCTAGACACCGGCCCCCGGTACCAATACTAGAGATTTGCCCCCGAGCTAGCCCTCCTATTAATAGGGTTGCTTTGTTCACGCGCACCACGACTCATTCAAAAGAGAGAGTAAAAGGAAGGATTTCCCAGAATTCGTACCAACTCGGCATTTCACGAGTTACCACACGAGAAAATCCTATCTTTCAAGCTTTCTCTAACTAACTTCGCCAATTGTCCTTCGCTCCAGATGGTCAATGTCTTTAGACTAGCCATCAGCCCGATTCAAACCTGCAGTCTTCAGGTCATGAGCATGATGAGTTGACCAATTCCTCCGGCTGTTCTGTTCTTTTCTTTCCTTTTGGGTTGGCGGAGAGAGTAAGAAGTTCTTTCATTCCTATCCCGTGTCTATATATATATATATATATATATATATATATATATATATATATATATATATATATATATATATATATATTGTCGGTGATATGGGCCCGGGGGTATCAGGTTTAGAGGTAGGAGGCTGCCTCCCGATACCACGTGGCCCTCCCTTGAGGGGAGTCAGGCCCAAGGTAGGACCGCGGCCACTCCTTCCCAGAGACTGGATGGAGGATGCTGCCCTCCAATGCTACGTGGCCCTTCCCCGAGGGGGGT